CAAATTTTGGGGGATGAGCCGCAGAGATTAGAGACACGGCCTTTTGGGAGATGAAGAGGGGAAAGGGAGGGGGAAGGGGCGGGGGGGAAAGGGGGCGAACAGAGTGGGTTATTCACCTAGCCGGCTGAGCTGGGAGGGGAGGGGGGGCAGGGGATGAGGGGCATTCTATGGCCACGCGAGATATGCGAGTCTGTGCGCTCACACACACACAAACACACATACTCGCGCGCGCCCGTACACTATTCCTTCTGTCGGCGAGGCTCGGCCACACAAACACACACACACTTACACGTTTTGTTTCCCCACACAAAAGCCCCCCACACACGAGGTCTTCATAAAACGCTGCAGCCGGAAGACATGCAGTAGTAGCACCACCACGGGGGGGGCAGCCATGGCCGAGCCCCGTGTGCCTAGCCTCGCGCCTAGCTGTTGCCTGCCCCAGGCGTTGGCCTAGGTGTGGCCTATTCGTGGCCTAGTGGCCTAGGCATGGCCTAGCGCGGTGCCGTCAGGTGGTGCCGTCGGGCGAAACAAAACCAAGTAGGGAGAGGAGGGGGGGGGGGCGTCGCTGGACCTGTACTGTACAACACAAACTGCCCGAAGCGACTGACTCTGCAAAGGGACTGCCGAGGGGGCAATAACTCCCTTTTGGTGTGTACACATGATTCCCGAAATACTTGATTCCCAGTGATTCCCTGTGATTCCCGTCCACTTATATTCATTCCTTAGGTTTTCTAGTGGTGGAAAACGCTTGTTTCGACTAATTTGTATCAGTTTCATTGGTTTCCCACTTACTTTAAACGATTTCTGTTGATTTCGATTAACTTTTATCCTGATGATTCCCAGGGAGATGTACACATGATTCCCGGAGTTATTGCCCCCTCGGGGACTGCCATGTACTGCTTTCTCGAATTATCCCTCCAATTGCAGCAAAAAAGCAACAGTAATAGAAAAAAGCGTAAAAGTATTCTATGACCCACCGGTCACCGCACATGTTGTGTAAAGTAGAATATAAGAGAGGACCCCATCATCGTGGCCCCGCGCTCTCGTCGCGACCGGCCCCTAGAAACTTTGTCTGGGGCGTTGCGGCGTCTTCGAGGGCGTCCTGCCCCCGCCCCTCCCCCTTTCCTCGCTTTCCCCTAGACACCGTCGCCCCTCCCGCGATCCGTCTTACTTTTGCAGGAACAGCAACACGAACACACAACACGAGTAACCTCGAGTCGGGGGCCGGGCTGTGGCTGTGACTACCGGGGTGACTGCCGGGGGTATCGAGCCTGAAACGTCATATGGCGAGCGAACCGGGCGGAGCAGATCATCAAAGTGCCATTTGATCGCACTCGTTGGAAGTATTGGCGCGGTAGTGGTGATCGTGGCGGTCGTGGTGAGTGGACGTGGGCAGGGACAGGAGAGTGGGGTAGGGTGGCGATCGGCCGTGGCATCAAGTCAAATGACGAGCCATTTATAGCAGTCACCGATGGGAAAATCAATGGTGGACACGACGGCGCGGCCGTGGCGTTGGCGCTGCGTGGCGTTGCGTGGACGTGGAGGAGCGGGGTTGCGGCGGCAGGGGCCCCGAAGCGTAAGGACCCTATAAGGACCCGATGAGGACCCGATGAGGACCCGATGAGGACCCGATGAGGACCCGATGAGGACCCAGTGAGGACACCCGCAAGCCCCACGATCCCCAATGTGGTCGTCGCAGAGCTCAAATCGTCCCCCGAGGAGGCTAATGTTGATTTATGCTGGGTGGCGGAAGGAAGTGGGGAGGGGGGGGGGAGAAGGGGAGAGGTGAGTGGCAAATAGAGGGAGAATACAGGAGCGAAAGGGAGCGCAAGGAGAGAGGGAGTGCTGACTGTGCCTAATCTTCTCGGGAGTACAGGGGTCGAGGCAGCGGGGTAGTGCCGGGCGGGGGCAGGCCTTGTTTGTGGCCCCCGCAGGTAACATTTCTTAATTTATGGAGGTCCTGTTTGCACTGGTCGACCCGTCACCAGCCGAGCACGGCCCGATTCTACCTCACGACGACAACTACATCGCCCAGAGAGAGGTGCAAGCGAAAGGTATATGAAAGGGGGGAAGTAGGAGAGAGGGATGAGGGCCGGAAAGAGAGGAAAGCGAGAGAGAGTGAGTGAGTGTGAGCGACGAAGAGAGAGGGAGAGGGAGAGGGAGAGAGGGAGAGAGAGAGGAGCCCAATAGCACGGCATGTGCTGAGCCGTGTGTACAGCGCGCATGCGGGATGGTGTCGGGTAGGCGTGGTTCCTTGCTTTATTGCAGCTGGTCAGGTGAGCAGCGTGCGGCAGGGGCGCGAGCCCTGGGCGCAGCCCGCGAGCCTCTGGGGACGGCTTGAAGTGTGCGAGTGAGAGAGAGAGTGCGAGCCCCAAGGCTAACCTTGGCAGTGTAATTAAACACACGGTGCGATAAAGACAGATAGGGTAATGGGCCGCGGGTCGCCGCGCGCAGTCGTACAAGGCAATAGGAGGAAGTAAAACGATAAAGAGGAAAGGAAAAGAGAATTACCGCTCGCTCTCTCTCTCTCTCTAGCAGTCGTGGAGTGCGTGGTCTGACCTACTGACCCACCTGATGTGCGTCGTCGCGAGTCGACCCCCCTGTGTTTATTCCACCGGCTGCTGAAACTCTGACATCAACAATAAACTCACAGCAAAGAGGAGAGAGGGGCGTGATTCATTGTAAAATTGGCGTCAGGTTCAATGTCAGTCCTCTTTGTCAAGCCCTCCGGCGGCGCCGCAGCGGCCGCGGCCCTCGTGCGATAATGACCTCGATGACCGACCGCCGCCGGGCCGGGCCGGGCCGGACCAACGGGCGACAAATAATGTCCACGCATTATCTGGGGTGAAAAACGAGCGTGATAAAGAGGCACCGCCGGGTTGCAGAGAGGGTGGAGCGGGGGGAACACGGGCGCATCTCCATGTGAGCGAGCGAGAACGTCGCACTACGCGCACATGTGTCTGAGCGAGCGCGACAAGTGAGGCGCAAATGGATCAAAGCAAAAAAGAAATGGATCAAAGCAAAAAAGATTGGCAAGCCAGACAATGTAGAGCATCGCGACGACGAACGCGCGCGTGTGTGTATGAGAGTGAGAGAGAGAGAGAGAGAGAGAGAGAGAGAGAGAGAGAGAGAGAGAGAGAGAGAGGGGATGACTGTAATGGGCCAATGAATGGATCGAGATAAACTTGAAGCAGCTGAGGTATGCGTGTCATGTGGATCAGCTAGGATAAAAACTGCATCCACGTGTGAGAGCGAATCAAGAGAATGTAGTTCAGTAGGTTCAAATACGCGCTGAGAGCACCAAAAAAAATCGTTTTAAAATCGTTATAGATTGCTAAATTCCCCGTTTTGCATGTTATTTCCTGCCCCGTCCCCTTTCGGCAGCGTTAATCAATTCCAGCGGCCGCAATCAATCAGCTGAAATGAGGCCAGCACTCACCCCCCCCCCAATCGTCCCGACAGGTGTGCCGGCTCGGCGTGATGCACCTGCAGAGTAATTAAAGACCACAGCGGTGGTTATTTTCTAGCCCGACGCCACTAAAAATAGCCCATGCAGCTGCAGCACTGTCAGTTCTTTTTCGTAACTGTAACTGCTATTAGGTTATCTTTTCCTCGGTGCTTCGGTCGGTGCAGCCGATGTAGAGAGCACCTTTGGACTTTGGATCATCCCATCATACCCGCCGGGTCCACCCGCTCGACCAGGGCGAGTGTTGACAGAGTCGCGACTACGCTGCTAAAAATACTGCTCCCATCCACACGCGATGCTTTGCGGACTGCCGCGCAGTCATGGGGAGAAGGAGAGAGAGAGAGAGAGAGAGAGAGAGGAGAGAGAGGGGGGGGGAGGAGAGAGAGAGACGCTAGATAAGGGTGAAACGCCGCGTTTCGGCGTCGCAACTCGAGCAGAAATGAATCGAATCGCTCACAATCTTGTCAAAATTTCTGGTCACTGAGCTCCTGAAGGGGAGAGTCAGAAAGAGTGAAAAAAGAAGAATAAGAGTGAAAGGAAGACGCCAGAGACTGGAGACGAGGGAGTGAAGGAAAAGATTGCCGACAACCTGCTGCAGGAGACCGGCCCCTGGTGTCCTTTCCTCGCCGCGCGCTCCTTTTCGAGGGTAGGGTTGTGGAAGGCGCAGAATCTTGTTCCGTTCACGCTCGGGCGCCTCCTCAACACGGGGCCGGGCCGAGCCGTGGCCGGCCGCTGGGGAGCAGGGGGCCTGTGGTCGTGCCCGTTATAGCCCCAACTAAAGCCGCCCGCCCTCCCTCATGTCAACACAACTACACGGTTTCCCTATTGGCCACGCATCAGAATTGTGACACGAGATAACGGGACGATATGCCGACATGAAAAGTCAAAGTCAGAGACGAATCCTGTTCGTTCGGGCCTGTTTTATTTTCAACGCGAGGTGGAAACGAGAAAATGTTGGGTGAGACGACCAGCATAGCACGCTCACGCAGTAGACAAACCCCGTGTTAATTAAGGTACTACGTTTTGAACTCAAACACACCTTAAGTCATAAGCGTTAGATGGTGCACTGTACTGAATCACACATTCAGTGCAGCGTGACCGTGACCAACATGTGGCCAAGCTCCGGTGTTAAATCGCAGGCACAAGGAGTGGGCCACAGTTAACCTTCTTAGGCGCCCCCTTAAGCAGTGTACAGACAGGGGCGAGGCGTGAGGTGAGCGAGGTGTAGAGGTGCGAGGCGCCCAGGGGGTAGGCCGCCGCGTGACTCGTGCGCCTTGCGGGTTGGCCTACCCTGCGGACTGCAGGCGCCCCCGGCACTCACCGAGAGGTGTAAGTGAGGTGTGAGTGAGGTGTGAGTGAGGTGTGAGTGAGGTGTAAGTCAGGTGTGAGTGAGGTGTGAGTGAGGTGTGAGTGAGGTGGAAGTGAGGCGAGCGAGGTGTAGAGGTGCGAGGCGCCCGAGTGGTAGGCTGCCGCGTGACTCGCGCGCCTTGCGGGTCGGCCTACCCCGCAGACTGCAGGCGCCCCCGGCACTCACCGTGAGGGGAGAGCACTCCGGCCAGCAGCAGGTGGACGTAGAGGTAGAGGTGCTCCTCGCTCATGGTGACGGAGGCGGGGCAGCACACCTCGAGGTCCGCGTGTCCACACGCACGCACGTCCACACACTCACACACACACAACGCGCACGGGCTTCACCACAAGGGAGGCCTCCGATGGCCCCGCCGCCGTCGTGCAAGTGTCCGGGAGGGATGTTCACGTGGCTCGCGCATCGCCACTCTGAAAGAGAAAAGAAAATAAGAAAGATCAGAAACCAGTTTTTGCCTACTGAGCAGAAGGCCCGTTAGACCGCGAACTAGACCCCCCCCCCCCAATGCTCTCGCCTAGGCGAGTAGTCGGTCCCTTCTTCGGCTCCGTTTGAACAGCGCGTGCGCCGGGGAGCGGCCTCCTAATTTAATTACACTGCCCACACTTTTCCATTCACTTTCGCTATGAACACTTTACCGGGTCGCCATGCTCCCAACGCTTTCGGCATAGGCCGCGCGCCGGCCGCCGTCTGGACGTTCGACCCACCGGATGGGGGTCCGCAACCAACCCTTTCACCCCTAGGGTTGTACGTTCTCACTAGGTGCTCGGTCAAGTTCACTACAAGTAAAGGAGTGACCAAATACCATTCAAATAAATAGAGCGATATTGTGAATCTAATTTGACGACTCTTGGGGAAGCGATATTAATTACATCGCTCGTTTGGAGTAACTTTGTCGCCACATTTTTGGTTACAAAACTATTTCGGGGGAAGGTGTACGAACTATTTCGCTGGTGATTTCCCCCTCGACACTCTAACATCCTGAGTAATTGACACTATTCAATTGTGATGTTATGAATAGTTTGTTTTATACTGCTACGAACAGTTCGTAACCGAAATGGACGAATAATACTCGTTAATTTGAATTATGAACTATTCGTGACAGGTTAGTATCGTAAATGACGAAATTCAGTAACAGTGTAGTGGACCACATGGAGGGGGCGATCGCCCCCCCCCCCCCTCTTAAAACGTGCCTGGCCCGAGGGGTGCGGCGGCCGCGGCGGCGCTGCACGGCGACGCGGCTCGCAAAGCAGAGCAAAGGGATTAGAGGGGCAAAGGTAGCACGACGTTAATTTTCTAGTCTTGTCCTCTTTTTTTTTTCACTCGGCGCGACAAAATCTGGAATTAATCAACACGTCAAATATTTGCTCGCATCGCATCCTTTCATAAGCAAAACAGCCAGCCCTAAACATTCAAGGGGCACGTAAAACTACAACCCGTTTTTCATTAACATTTTATGACGTCATACGTCGCAAGAAGTAAAAGAAAGAAAGGAAATATCGTGAAAAATTTGAAAACGCAATGATAATTATCACTTTTTTTTAGCTCTCCTTTAATGTCTGTAAGCAGGGCGCGGCTGTCTGTCATTCCTTTGGAAGTAGTGCGGCAAGTGGAGGAAGCAAAACATGTAGCATGCGACACAAAACTCACCCTCCCACCCCGGTAAGACACCAGCCGCCCAGCAGCCCACCCCACCTCTCTCCCAGGGAATAACTGTCGCCGTCCCGTGACGGAGGCGTATTTATGCTAATGGAAAGCGGGCGGTCATAACGCGCCGCTGGGGCCCGCACCGCCCGGCAAGCGAGGGCCCAGGCGGTATTAGAAAACCTTCATTTCCGATCACGGTCCGTCAACTTCGACAAGCGACGCATTACGTTAGGTGTTTTTTTATAAAGAGGAAATCATTTAAAAAACAAAAGAGATCTTATATGAGATAATACTGAGGGCCTGTACAGAATTAGGAAGAGAGGGTGGACATGTAATTTCAACAGTGAGATATATCTTGCTCTTAGGGAGGGCGAGATACGTGACTACAAAACTCTAGCTCTCTTGAGATCAAAAATTATTTTTCTCACTCTCTTTTAGTTATAATTTACAGTCCTTATCCACGTCAGAGAAAGGTGCCTATGTAGGTATGAGGTCAGCAAACTGTAACTCGCAGAGGATGAAAACTCGGAAAACATGGCTTAAATAGAGCGACCTAAAAATTCCACGCTTTGATTGAGAGCGGAAAAAAAAGCCTCACTCATTTCAAGAATAAAACTTCACTGAAGGGTTCCGGATGTGGAGAGCGGACTGACACATACAGTCAGCGGAGGGGGAGAGATGTGAAAAGGGGGAGGGAGAGACACGGATGGAAGTACATGGGCGGTGTGGCTGCTCAGCGAGCCAGCCACACATGTCGGCCCAGTGTTTTATCGGCAGCGCTGCAAGGCCTGGCGCGCGGCGGGTGCTGGCGCGGCAGGGAAGGCCAGACCCCATAATTCACCGAAATAAACGCATGTCACTTCACGCCCTCTCCTGGGCGGTAAACACATTTTCCATCTCCTTGAACGTTCAGAGGTACTACACAAAACGTCAAATAAGAAGGTTCTTTTGTTTTCATTGTTCCAATTTTATTTTATTTTATTTTTCACGACAAAAAAAAAATAACTTGATGCTTTCTTTTCCTTTCCAATTTCTACGTGCACTGCACGAGTGCCAACTTTATTGTTTCTTTCCTCCCTTTTTTCGCCGTCATCTTGCTTATCAGTGATTTGCTGTCACTGCCCCGCCAGCCTTGGCGGTATACTCGAGCGCGCGCGCGGCCGCACCGCCCCTCGACCCCTTGGCCCAGGGGTGGGGTGGGGTGGGGTGGGGTGGGGTGGGCCACCACCACCGAGTATTTACGCCGCAATAAAACTCGGCCTGCTGAGAGGTTGAGCTCGCTCATCGGGCCCCACCGCCCGCCCGCCGCTCTGGGCTCCGACACCGTCCGCCCGACCCCGACCACCACCGGTTAAGATACCCGTCACACCGCAAACCCACTCCCACCACGAACTGTAGGGAATGAAAAAAGCAACAAAAAAAACGCGCCCTGCTTTGTATTTATTTTTCATTTTTTTAGCGTCTACAACTGGTGGCTAGGGAGAGCGACGATGATATCGGTCGGTGAAACTGAAGAGCGCCGCGGCGGTCCTGCCCCCCGGGGCCCGCCTCCCCCTCCGCTCCCCTCCTCGTCCGCCGTTACGATGACGAGTTGAATTGCAAAACGACGGGGACAGATTGCTGGGCGACGACAGATTTCACAAAAGATGAAGCGACACGGAGGCGCGGCGGCGCGGCGGTGCGGGTCGCGTTACACGGCGGGGAGG